TAGGGATCCTAGCGATCAGCCTCTAGATGCTAATTGCTAGCATAGGGAGGGTTAGTCACTTGACTAGGGATATCTGTGATGAGCCTCTAGATGCTAGTTGCTAACGTAGGGATCCTAGCGATCAGCCTCTAGATGCTAATTGCTAGCATAGGGAGGGTTAGTCACTTGACTAGGGATATCTGTGACTAGCTTAGGAATGCTAGTTGCTTGTCTAAAATGCTTCTGACCAGTGTTGGAATGACAGTCGCTAGCTGAACAATGTCACTGAGTAGCCTAGGATCACTAGTTTCTAGTTTAAGTGTGCTACTGACTAGCCTGAAAAACAGTCACAAGCCAAAGGATGCAACTGATTGGCCTAGTTGCTAGCCTAGCAACAAGCCTGAAAATGCCAGTTGCTTGTCGAAGGGCACTCGTGACTAGCTTAGGGATGCTAGTGATTTGCTTTGGGATACTAATTGCTTACGTAGAGATTTTTGTGGCTAGCCTATGATTGCTGGTGATTAGCCCGTAAAAGCTAGCTGCTCCTCTTGTGCCGCTAGATGCTAATCTAGAGATGCTAGTGAGTAGTGAAGGTAGTTCCTTATCCAGTGGGTTGCCAAGGTAACTGTGTGAATAGCTGTCTGAATGAATGCCTGAGCTCGATGAGCCGGCGACTCGTCTCATAGAGCGATAAGAAGAGATCCTGCCGGCCTCTCAGTTTCCACTGCCAGCCTATCAGGAGCTAAATCAGTCACTGGCTTCACCAGAGGCTCCCTTGGCCTCTCAGTCGTCTTATTTTTGGCACAATCGCTGCACTATAGCATTCAACACCCAGCGCCTTCATCACTGAGCTGGAGCAGCCTGCGTGTAGCCTGAGAAACAAAACTCAGGGTCAAAAAAAGAGTTGCAACGCTCACTGATCAACCCCGTCTCCTACACTATCTGGTAAAGAAAACTTCCTTCTTTTATTGTGTGAATACATCATAAAGACTGCCAGATAAATACAACAGTGCTGTCCCATTAAAGCAGCATTAAATAATTTTTTGTCACATGAACAGTTTTAACTTGCCACAAGTCAAGTGTGAGGGAAAAGTTTTCCAGTTGTGCAGCTGGAGACCAAACAGCATCTCCTCTGCAGCAGCAAACACACAGAACCTGCAGTTTTTAAGGATTCACGTCCATATAACATAAAAATTAAACGTTTATTCCTGAAAATCAACAACGTCTATATTCACAACTGTTAATCCAAAGCTGCAGAATGAATTTGGTGTTTGGCTTTAATCAGTTTCATAGAATTCGGCTGCAGTGAGTGAACACAAATACACAAGACTTAAAGGAAACCTGGAGAGAGAAGAACAAACAGTTCACATGAATGAACACTGTGGAGCATCTGCATCAGATTACAGTGCACATCTCCATCCAGCTCTTAGTTCACCAAGACCTGCTGTCGACAACCTGCACACCTCCCACCGAGCCCAGAGCAAATCTCCTCTCTTTGCACTCCTGGAAGGATGTGACTAAAAACCACCAAAATGACAAGTACCACAACCAGAAATAATCACAAAACCACCTAAACCAGAAAGACAGCATCCAACGAGGGAAGTAAAATTACCACAATGAGGCACAAGAACACCGTAGACGAACACGAAATCATGCAAAAGCACCCAAATTACATAAACAACAACCTAAAAAAGAGACAGAAAACAGCAAAAAAGAGACGTAAAACTACACAAATTACAATCCTAACAAGACATAAAACCACCACAAAGAAACACAAAATCATCAAGTCAAGACAGAAAGTCGGCAAAATGAGGCACAAAATGAACTTAAAGACCACGAAAGTTAAAGGCACAACAGCCAACAACAGGTGCAAAATTACCAGAATGAGACAGACAATCCACCAAAATCAAATTTAACTACCACAAAACGACCATAAGCAGGAACAGAATGACCAAAATGAGACACAAAGCAACCAAAATAGATGCACAACAAACTAAAATGATCAGAAAGACACATATAACCATCCAAATGAATGCACAACAAGCATAAAGAGACACAAAATCACCTGAACAGGCCTTAAAATCATCAACAATAGATGCACAACATCCAAGAAGGACACAAAAAGGTTCAAAATGAGACACAGAATCACCAACATGAGGCACAAAACCAACTGAAAAAGACAGAAAACCTGCATGAAAAGACTCAAAAATGACCACAAATAAACAAAATGACCAAAATAAGACAAAAAACCCACAAAACTAGATGCATGACAACCCTAAAAGGTTCAAATTAAGACACAAAACCACCAAAATGAGGCAGAAAATGAACTCTGAGAGACAAAATCACCAAAACTCTGACATGCAGCAGCCAACAAGGCGGGGAAATGACCAGAATGAGTCACAAAACCAAAACTAGATGCTCAACAATCAACAACAGATAGGAAATGACAACAGCAACAAGGCAAAATACCGACTATAAAGAGCAACTGAACGACAAAAGTGAGACGCTGTCCCCCCTGAACCTGATGCACAGCTGCCCCAAAGACTCACAAAACCAGCACAAAGTGAGCAGGAAGACTCACAAACCCTACAGAGACACCACCTGATGGCTACAGTGGGCCTGTGGTTCATGGTGGGGTTGTGTGTCTGCTGGTCTGGCCTCCACTGTGCATGTCTGTAGGTTACATAATGAGGACCGTAGTGGTTCAGGCTCTGGTGAACCAGCACAAAACACCTGTGCAGCCTCCAGAGCAGCTCAGAGCTCAGCGCCGGGCCCTAAATCAGCCGACAGCAGCCAGCAGAGAAGGTCAGAGGTCAAGATGTCAGCATCCTGACAGCAGACAGAGCTGCAGCGCTGCAGGACGATTCTCTGTCTATTCAGAGAGACCGGCCTCTGAAACCAACACCCGCTCCACTTTTAGGCCTCCGGCTCTGCTTTCGGCCTCCCTGGCATATCAGGGGGCCTGCTGGGGCCGCCGGGGGCCAGGAATCACCCTGGCAGGTCTCACAGGGGTTCCAGAACCAGCCACGAAACCACAGGTCACGTCTGAAAGCAGCTGCAGGAGCGAAGGAACAATAAAAACTGGAGGCAGAGGACACAAGGGACGGCTTTAACCCTCTGAACCCCAGAATCTGCTGATGCATGGCAAAGGCATTATGCTGGTTTTTTTTTTTTAAATCACCAAAATCACACCATTTATCACAAATATACAGTTAATTTAGACGCTTTTATCCAAAGCGACGTACATCTGAGAGCAGATCCAACAGCAGCAGGGATCTAGTCAGGAGGAAACAATCGAGATAAGAGCCACAGAACAAAATGAAGTGTGACGGGGCGCTGATGCCAGCAGCAGGCTGCAGGGAGGTGATAGGATTTTGTTTTTTTGTTTGCTTTCAGTCTGTCCAGTGCAGAGGTGTTCAGTAAAGAGCTGGTCTTTAGTCTGTTCCTAAAGACTGAGAGGGCAGATTGTCAGTGACAGAAACCATAAAACCCCCCAAAAACGTCGGACTTCCCACTTTAAGGTTGGCGTCCTAAACCCAAAAAAGGAATGTTTTCTTATTTTAAAAATCACCAAGAAGACCAGACTTCAATGTTCTGACTGTTCTTGGAACTACTCGTCATCATATTAATTTATTCAAAATTTATTACTGAAAAAATTCACTAAAAAAAAAAACTGATTCCGAAACTAGATTCTGTAAAAAACTAAAAAATTCTGCACTTCCTGGTTCAGCTGTGAAGCCATTAATGACTCAGCTGGGACCAACGGTAACGTGGCAAAAATTCAAGAAGGTTCCACCTGAACTAGGATGAACTGCAGGCTGTGTTTACACAGAGCAGAGGGGCAACAAACTAAAACACCTGGAGGATGAACATTTACTGTCCATCGGTGGTCACACCTGTGGGAAGACTGCTGTACGTGTGACATAAATAATCAAGCTGCATTTTTTCTTTTTTATGCTTCATGGTGTTGTAACGGTCACTCTGTACAGAAGACTCTCCTGTCTGTCCAGTCCTGGTGGTTCTGTTTCCATGGCGCTGCAGGACTTCATATTGCAGTGAAAAATGAGCCCACGGTGAGTAAAAATGTGAAACGCCCAGAGCCCACGCCGGGTTCAGAGGGTTAAACCCTCCTCGCCCCGTCCTCTTCTTCAGACACAATCGCCCACTTCTAGAAAGCTCTTTGAAGACTTTCACAGACTTAAATAGCAAAAAGATAAACTAAGAAGCGGCAGCACAGATTGAAAATCAGCAGTTTCCTACCCGTGAGATGGTCAGCGGCATGTTGAAGTCCTTCCCCCCCTGCAGCCTGAAGCCCCAGGGGCCGGGCCCGGGCAGCGACACGGTGTAGGTGCTCATTCTTCCAGAGATCCTCCGAAACTAAACCAGACTTTCTGAATAAAACTCCGCAGCGGCTGGACAGACGGGACGGGAGGGAGGAGCGGCGCTGGTGGCGGCGGCGGCGGCGGCGAGTCGGCTCTGGGAGAGGACAGAGGAGAAATGAAACAGGTGAAGGGAAAAATGTTGGGCTGAGAGGAGCGAGGAGAAGACCTGCCTGCTCAGACGAGCTGAAGTGACAGCCTAAGAATAGCCAGAGATAGCGCTGTGGCATTGTGGGGGGCGGAGGGGTGAGGCAGGGGTGAGGCAGGGCAGAGGGGCAGCAGGGAAAGGAGGGGGGGTGGACTTATATGGCGTGAAAGGGGACACCCGGTATGCCAGGCTCGCCGTGATTCACCGGGGCTAATATAGACCCAGCAGATTCTTCTAGACCTCCCCATCCTCCCCCTTCGCCTCCCCCGGCCTGCAGGGTCTCCCTCGGACCCAATCAGGGGTCGGAAACGTCTCATTATCTGTGTGGCGATAAAACAGAAAGGCCACGAGCGAGACGCCTCTGATAGCTTAAAGGTCAGCAGCAGCCGGGTCGACTCCGCCCTGCAGCGGGGCGTCGACCAGAACCGCTCACCTAATCAATCACAGCGATCAGCTCATCAGTCTGCTGGAGGCGGAGGGAAACGGCCAAGATACCACGAGGAGGCTGATTCTTATCATCCCACACGCTGATCTGTGGATCAGCTCATCGCTCTGGTTTGTACTCACACACACAGAAAGAAATGATGACTGTACTGGGGTTGATCCACATTAGTGCTCTGGTACCAGTAAATACTGATTTAGGCTGTTTACACTTAAAAAGGTACAAATAATGTTCATATATGTGCTTAATATGTCACGTATGCTGAGTTTAATGACTAACTGGGGGGTGCTAGTTTCATGGCCATGCTACAGACTAGCCTAGGGATGCTAGTGACTAAACTAGAGTTGCCAATTTTGAGGCTAAAGATGCTACAGATTAGCCTAGGGATGCTAGTGACTAAACTAGAGTTGCCAATTTTGAGGCTAAAGATGCTACAGACTAGCCTAGGGATGCTACAAACCAACTTTGGATGATATAGAACATTCTAAGGATGCTATAGATTAACCTAGAAATGCTACAAACTAGCCTAGAGATGCTATTGACTGGCATAGGGTTGTTAGTGACTAGCCGAAGGATATTAGTTTCTAGGATAAAGGTGCTGTGGATCAGCCTAGCAATGCAACAGACTAGTCTAGGGAAGCTATAGATTAGCCTTGCAATGCTAGGGACTCACCTAGGAATGTCAGTGACTAGTCCAAGGATGCTAAAGACTAACATAGTGATGCTCTAGCCTAAGCTAGGGGTGGTATAGACCAGCCTACCAGACACTAGTGACTAGCCTAGAGAAATGCTACACAGCTTCGAATCTTAGGGATGCTATAAACTAGCATAATGATGTAAGTGACTTGCCTCGTGATTCTAGTGACTGGCCTTGAAAAGCTAGTTACTAGACTTTAGATGTTATAAACTAACTAGGGATGCTAATGACCACCTTATGGATGCTACAGGCTAGCCTAGTGATGATAGTAAGAAGCCTAGGGATGCTATAGACCAGTCAATGGATGTTATAGACTAACTAAGGATGCTAATGACCACGCTATGGATGCTACAGGCTAGCCTAGTGATGCTAGTAAGAAGCCGAGGGATGCTAGTGACTAGTCCAGGGATGTTAATGACCAGCCTAATGATGGTAGTCACTAGCCTAAGGATGCTAGTCACCAGCCATGAATTGCCTCGGGATGCTAGTGACTAGCCAGAGGACGCTAAATGCTAGTGAAGGATGCCCTCTATAATAAATAGATGAAGCTGTAGAGCGTGCTGTAGTGACGACAGCAGTCAAACTAGAAACAGCTTCTGTCTGCACGGCAACACATGCATGTCGGGTTCATGGGCTTTTTCTGTTGGCAGGTGTTAACAACAGGTGATGCACACTGCTGAGCTGTCAGCGTGTGTGAGGTTTCATTTAATGGCTGCAGAACCAGAACACAGCACTTCTCTATACAGCAGCAAATACAATCATTGTTTTCACTGTCTGTTAAAACTGAAACTTTGAACGTCCGTATTATCATATTAACCTTCTGGGGTTCTGAAAAAGGTAAACACACGGTTAAGTTTTATTTGTATGTTGAAGAATTAGCAAAATTAAATTTTACAGTTTATAATGTAGTGAGAGATCTGAGGCAAAGAGTTATGAATAAACCGTAAAGAGATTTAGGTCACTGTTGTCCATAATGGGGGGTCTGGAGCCTATCCCAGCCGGTCCATTGCACCAAGGCGTCCTAACCGGGGATCTTCTAGCTGCGAGGTGTTGGTGCTAACCACCGAGCCACCTTGAAGTTACTACTGTCCATCCATCCATCCATTATCTATACACTGCTTAATCTTCACTCGTGTTCATGTGAAGAGCTTTGCTGTATTTTCTGTGCAGTAAACTACAGTTGGATCCACACATAGGCAGGTCTGTCGGTGCAGGACCAGCAGGAGTCCAGGGACCTGCCTGATCAGAACGTCCAGCTGCCTGGACTCTGACAGCAGCTGTTCACAGACAACTCAACTGTTTCCCAGATTACACCGTGATGACAACACAGTTTGATCAACCGAATGAAGCTGCACATGAACTGGACGCAGTCTGAGAGGAGGAGGTCGGGGTTAATGGAGGGCATGCAAAGCTCCTGAATCCCACATGTCACCTCTCTGATAAAAACAAAGTCCAATCCAGCGCTTGTGTTCAGCGAAATGTTGATTAACCGTCTACAGATGTTCTGTCTCTGAGTCTCTTTAGTCTCTTTACGCCGAGGCCTCCTGGAACAGAAACTCTAGAACGTTGATTTCCACCTGGTCAGATCACCAGCTGTTGTCTTTGAGCTATAGCATGCTAGCAGGGTTAGCATTTAACCTTCTATAACTGTTACCAAAAGACGATTAGTGACTTCTGTCGCCATGAAACCTGCATCTCAGACGATGAGGACACGACGAGGTGACGTTACTCATCAATGATCATTTTAACCCGTGAAAGACGAGCTGCTGTTTTGTTCTCTGATGTTCACTAAATGAGGAAGAAATGACAGATTTGGTGAGTTAAGCAGCTTAGAGAGTAAAACCAGAGCCGGTGGTCATGAAGGAGAACAGCAGCAGACTGAGGATCAGACTCTGACCAGCAGAAACATGTCTGGACCTCTACCAGCTCCTGGTTTGGTTAGAACCAGTTTGCTGACAGACACGAGCAAACACAAAGCTCTGACTGAAAGTTATACGTATGATAAACACATGAAGACACAAAAACCACGTTCCTGTACAAGTAAACTGCATTCTCAGTAATACTTTGAGGTATTTTCTTCCAGGTTACGTTTGTCTGTAACTCAACACAAACACATTTCTGATCAGTGAACTTTTCATCCAACCAATCACGTATTAGCGCCACACAGAGGAGAAGCTCCAGACATGGAGTGAAGAAGTCGGACATCAACCCAGACCAAGGGAACGTTGAACACGTGACTTTGGTGCCAAACCCTGACCAAGCTTCTAACATGTGAACATGTCGAACACAGCCGGATGTTCTCCTGAATCCAACCAGAAAGCAAAACAAAACCAATCATGGGAAGCAAAACTTGGTCTTCAAGGTGAAGATCTGATCTCTGGCTCCTGTCCTCGCTGCCTCCTGTTACTCCAAAATAAAACTACGTTCCAATCAAACTGTAAACCTGGCGCAGTTTATCAGTGTAATTTTGTGGAGACTGGGTCGGTACGGCACAGTTTTAATTTAATAAACCCTAGTTCAGTACCAGGCTGCAGGTGGATCAGTGGTTAGCACCGTCACCTCGCAGCTGGAAGGTTGGCGTCCCGGTGAGGACACCCGGGATCTTCCTGCGTGGAGTCTCCATGTTCTCCCCGTGCAGCGTGGGTTCTCTCCGGGTTCTCCGGCTTCCTCCCACAGTCCAGAAACATGCTGAGGTTAATTGGTGATTGTAAATTGTCCGTAGGTGTGAATGTGAGTGTGCTTGGTTGTCTGTCTCTAAGTGTAGCCCTGTGATAGACTGGTTACCTGTCCAGGTGAACCTGCCTTCACCCTGAGTCAGCTGGGATAGGCTCCGCCCCCCATGACCCTGGTGAGGATGAAGGTGTAGAGATGATGGATGGATGGAGTTTGCAGCTTTTTTTCTTTCTGGTTTAGGATTTATATTCTTGTGAGGACTTTGCATGCGTCCATATTTGTGGTCGTTTGTAGGTTCAGTGAAGCCAGAAAGATGCCCTGGTTGTGTTAAACTTGTTTCCTCGTACAGGCCTCAGGTCCACTTTACTGAAGCAGTAAAACCTCCTCTAACAGCAGACAGTTTCAAATCCACTCCCTCTGTGTGGACATCAACTTTCCCTGCAGTGACGTCTGAAGCATGTGGACCTGTGAATGCTCCACAGCCTGACATGTGGCTGTTCGTGGATGTCTGAGGGCGTTGTGGCCCTCCGCAGCGACTGACAGGCTGATCCCAGAGCAGCCTGATCTGCTCAGCCCGTTATATCACCGGCTAAGTTTAGACGCCTTTGTGGCAGAGAGGAATCTGACAGAGAGCTTTCCCAGGGTGGTTAGCGAGTGTTTAAGGTTAACGGGGATGGAAATTTCACACACATCTGCAGGGAGCCGGTCGGAGGCATTAATCGGCTTTGTGACTTTGTGACGGTCGCACAGCTGCAGAGTGGAGCGGGTCGAACCAACCCAGCTGTAAAAGATAACCAGCAGAAGATAGATGCAGCTCGTAAACGTTTTGGAGGTAAATGATGCTGATGCTGTAGCTCAGACAAACACTGAAGTAAAACAGGCTCATACAGCGACAGCAGAAGTTCCTACTGATTCATCAACACGGAGAACAGAGCAGGGAGACGTTTACACACTCAAACACACTGAATTGAAGATATGCTGTCAGAAATAGCCTGCAGACATCCGTCACATGAACCCCGGCGACCTTTCATGAGTTAAAGGGGCTCAGCGCGACGTCTAAAACACAAACTGAGTCAGCTGGATGGCACGACGTGGGAGCCAACCGTCCACCAGCCGCCTGCCGAGGAGCGTGTGAGGGGGCGCTTGATGCGGGAGGCGGGTGGAGTGATAGTGATC